AAAAACCTAGAGAAGGGAAAAAAATGATTTGGGAAAACAAATTGTGCGGCTGGAAAAGAATTCAGGTCACCCTGCTCACCTATATCCTGCACACACAATGAGACGTGACAGGAGAGAACACTGTGACTCTGCAGAACTGCTGTGTCCCCAGGATAGCTCCAAACACACGTGCATGACATTCATCCGTGCCATGGGATACCAATAAGCAGTGGAAGGCTAATTAATGCAAACCTGTCACCAACCTGGGCAACTGAAAGCAAGAGTATGATGAAACAATACATTAGCAGACATTAAAGCCCAACTCTGGGCAACAGTGAAAATCTAACAGTGTATGGGCAATAACGTGTCTCTTCTTCTGTGCATACCAGAAATCCATATTCATGAGACGCAGCAAATTCCACTCTTTACCTGCATGGGGATTACTCACCTCGCCACCCCGTGTATGGTGGCGATATAAACCAGTCAGTGTGAAGGTATTTAAACAATACTGTGTGCAGGTTTTTTTTACAATGCTGCTATGTCAGGGTAACTTTCAAATGAGCTTTTGCTTACCACAATATGTTTATTGTGCAGTTTGCAGACGGCGATGTGCTGCTACTGCCAGGTCAGAAACTGCAAGAAAGCAGAAGACCACTGAACCTGCAATTCTACCCGAGCACAGGAAACAATGGCTGGGAATCATGGAACATGTAGTCCCAGAAAACTGGAGGAAATGACGTGACTCTGCAGAACAGACCCTCCTCCAGACCAGGAATCGCCAACCGGTGGTCCGCAATTTCCCCCAGGCCCCTCTGATGCCGTGCAGGTTGGGCCGTCATTGAAGCGGCACGGAGGCTCCCGGGCTGCCTCTCACTGACTCAAGCAGCGGCTGTCACAAGGAATGTGCGGTTCTCAGTACAGTGCGGGCTCTGCAGGAGGCGGGGAATCTTGTTAGTACCCGAACTGAGCAGGCTGCGGGACACGGATGAAGTGGGGAGAAGCCATGTAATACTGGCACAGTGTGGGGGAAGGGGAGGCACGGGGGTGGTTGGGGGCAGTGCTGAAGCTAGGGGGGGCATGTGC